AGGCGGGATGGTCAGTGGATGGCGCTGAGTCCCTCGGAGCAAAGGGAGGCGGGGTGGGCGAACAGGCCAGCAGCCTGAAGCCCGGGTGGGGAGCGGGCAGATGGCTGGAGGAGGGAAGGAGGGCTGCAGGGCTGCGAGGGCAGATGGAAGCACAGTTGGAGGCGACAGATAGAAGGAGAGGGGAACCAATGGCCAAATGGATAAAGAGACGCCACTGTCTCAGAGGCCAGACAGAAGGTGGGGGGTGGCCCTGACTTAGGGTACAAGGCTGCAGCACGTCAACCTGGCTTTCCTCAGGGACAGGGCAAGTTTCCTAGCTCGGCTGACTGAAGGGACCAGAGCTCCCTACTTCCCTCTGTGGAGCAACCAAGTGCCCATTGTGAGGGGCTCCAGTCTGACCCACAGTGGAGCCACGGAGGTGTCTCAGGGGCGGCCAGGGTCCTCCAGGGCTGCCCCAACGCCCAGGCACAGAGGGGAGAAAAGCAGATAGTTCTGAGCACAGACCACAAAGGTTCTAGCAGCTCTGAACACCCTGGAAGTCTCTCTGGACCAGAAAGAAGAAAAACAGGTGTGAGGTATATAAGTATATTTATCATGGTCAGTGTGATCTTGGACACCCTCTTTAAAACTGAATTTCGAGATAGTCCCTCGTTGGCCTTTAGAAGCTGAGGATCTGGAGGTCTACCTGGTTTAGGGTATTTTCTCACGATTTGAACATCCACCGGGATGGGCCAGAAGAGAAGCTGGAAACCAAGATGGGTCCAGGGGCTGCAGAGCATTGTGACAGAATGTCATGAATCTAGGGTAGATGCCCTCCCCAGGAAGTAACCAAGGTGGAACAAAATGACAATGAAATCAAGACTTGTGCTTTGCAGTCCCTACTTCAAACATAAGTTGCACTCAATGTTAAGATGCTGGAGGCAGTGACAAATCTTATAAAGTCCTTTCTACACCGAGATGCGTTCCATTTGGGTAAATGTGGTTTTTTTTTTTTTTCCTAAGAAAAATACTGTATAGCATTGTTTAGGTTGTTCTGAGCACTCTGTTAACTTGTCTAACCCTTAAAACAATATAATAAGGAAGTTGCTATTCACCTCACTTATATTTCAGATGAGGAACAGAGATGTTACAATGTACCTAGTTTGATATCTATCTTTTTATAACAAAAGAAATCATTTACTACAAAATGCTGTATGTTCTTATTTTACTTAACGTTATATCTTTGAAGATTTTCCATATCAAAACTTATAGAGCTACTTTATCTTTGGTGTTGCAAAGTAAGTCATTGTAAAGAAGTATTATACTTTCATTCACTAGCCCTCAACATTTATGTGGTTTTTAGCCATTTTCTTCCATAAATAATGCTACCATAAGCATTTTTATATTTACATCTTTCCTCATCTGTACAAGTTTATCTCAGAATAAGTTTGGAGAAGAATTGCTGGTTACATTTAAAAATTTGAGATACAGTATTAAATTGCTCTGCAAAGTAGTTATATGAATTTATATGTGACTGACTTATGAGTAGTTGATTCTGAAAATTTACACTTACTGACATTTATCTGTATAAAATTCTGTATGAAATTGGTGGAGGAGAAGTTTTGCTTTCTAATGATTATGAAAGTAGTCAGATTAGAGCTGGGGATTTAGCTCAGTGGTGCTGCACTTGCCTTGCAAGAATGAGGTCCTGAGTTCAATCCCTAGTTCCATAGGAAAAAAAAAAAAAAAAAAAAAAAGAAAAGAGAAAAAAGAAAGTCAAATTGTCAAATTTGGATTCTTCCTTAATAATATGGTAAGAAAGAACTATTTTAAAAAATTTATCTGTAGTTTCTATAAAAGACATATATACCCCATGATAAATTCCTTTCAAAATTTAGGCTTAGAAGCAGTCTGATAATCATTTTTTTTTTTTTTTGGTACTGGGGATTGAACTCCAGTCTTTGCGCTTGCAAGGCAGGCCACCAAACCGCTGAGCTAAATCCCTGGCCCTATGATAATCTTTCTTTATTGAAAAGCAATTATATGCCTCCTTCTGTTTTTGCTTTGGCTTCCAGGAAGCTCAAAATTGTTGCTCAATCATAACACACACATTAACCAATGAAGAAACATCACTATTTTAATATTTATTCTCATTTCTATTTTAATGATCTAACTGCATATATGCATCTTGTATTGTGAAGACCTCAAATCAATTTAGGAAGTTAGTAATATATAAATAAATTTCTACAATTTAAATGACTTAAAGGTTAAAGAGACCAGGCAACATGGTTAAGGAAGGAGGCAAGGAGGAAACAAGGGGGAAACTTTGCCTTCCTGTTTAACATGTGTAAGAGACTTTATTCTTGCTGCTCAGAATTACTGTTAGATGAAAACAAAGGAAAGGAAATCTCTCTCACTTACCCATTCTACAACTGGATGGCAGAAATTAAAATTTTCAGATAGAAAGGAAACTTGGAGGTCAGCTAAACAAACCTAAGACTACAAATGAGGAAACTGAGGCCCAGAGAGGTAAGGTGACTTACCTGAGGCCACAGCTCTAGGACATGACAGAGGCAGGATTAGAACGTGGGTAGCTTGAGGTCCAGGCCAAGGCGCTTTCCCACTGCATAATACACAATGCGGATGACTTGGGGTAGCAGGAAAGAGGAAGAGAAGGTGACCCCACAGCCCCTAGCAACGAAAACAACAAGAAGGACTTGAGGCACTCATAAATAATTAAGCAATTAGCTGCAGCAGCTATTCCCCTCCCCTCCAGCATCCAGTCACCAAGGCAACTTGGGCAGGGTGCCTGCTGGTTGCTTAGTAACAGTGTGGTCTGTTCCCCTGACATGCTCCCCAGGCATCAAAGGATTTGAGAGTCAGGAAGAACCTTAGACAGAGATCACTGTTCCAACACCTTTATTTTGCAAATGAGGAAATGGAGGCCCAGAGAAGCTGGGTAACCTGCCCAAGGTCACACAGCTACTCAGAAGCACAGCTAGGCTCCATTTCCATTTGCTTTCCATTACATCAGGGCTGCCTCAGGCAGACTACAGATGGAGAAGAGGAGGATAAGTCTCTATAGTTCCTAGAAGAATGAGAAAGTCAGAGCCAGTGAGCAAGCAGGAAAGAGACAGACCTTGAGTGCTCATATGCAATTAGCAGGAGCTGGTAATCCCATCAGCCTAACTTTCATCATCACCATGGCAACTTGGGTGAGGTGGGTGCTGGTTGCCTAGTAACAAGTGGTCCTCTCTTCCACTCACATCCAGCTCCCTGGGAGCCACAGGAATGGTAGAATGTTGAAGTCAGAAGGGAAGGCAGGGATCCTAACTCAGTTCTTTCCTTTGAGCAGTGATAAAACTGATGGTCAGGAACCCTGCGTATCACCTTAGCGTGTGACATTCCTTCCACGGATGATCTCTCTCACAGCACTGTGGAGGGAACCTTCCACCCATACAGTCAGAACATGGGTAAAGAATGCCTGATGGCCCCCGCAAGAGAAGATAGTTACCTTTTGCCTAAAGGTTGGTGATGCCATGCACAAAACTTGGCACACAGCAGGCGTGCACAGGAGGAACTGTTATGCCCAGTAGATAGAGGCTGGACCTATAAAGTTCCCCATACCCATACAGGGCAAGCTTCTTATCATCTCTGTACCTCAGTTTCCACAAGTTAGGAATGAGTGTTCTGACATTCTCTGGAGTCACTGTTAGGTTACGAGAGAAAAGGTACCCATCAAGTGCTTGGTATACATTCCCATGCGGAAACAGGTGTACACTTATTCCACATTCAGTAGATATCTGTTACATGTCTGCGACACAAATGCCACCCGCATTGGCTCTTCAGATTCATTAGTGAGCGACAGACAATTCAGACAAAAGAAATTCCTGTCTTGGGGAGCTGACATTCCAATGTGTGTGCGGGTGTGTATGTATATATATACTTTAAAATTAAGTGTTTATTGAATGGGTGCAGGAACTCGGTGGCAATATGCTGTTTATGTTGCTGGGCTCCTTCTCTAAGACTAAGATATTTCCTGTTTACAGGGTGTGATGCTATAAATATGAAGGCTTGTCTTCTATGTGGGAACTCCAATTTCCTTTCTCTTAAAAGCTCAGAAAAAGGCAGTGGCCACTAGAGGGCAGACCGCGGGCCCCCTAGAGAAGGGAAGGGGAAGAAGACACAGGATGGGGCACGGGCCCTGACTGAAGCTTCCAGCAACACCGGTGTTATACCTGCCCAGTCTCAGGCAATGGCTTGGAAAGGTGTGGGAGACTTGACACTATTCTGGGACCCCAGATGGGGAGAGGAGTGGAGAGAGGCCGTAGCATAGTTTAAGAATGACAGCTTTGAGAGAGTCTGATTCATGCTTTAACTAAAATCCTGGCACAAGTAAGCTGTGCAACCTCAGAAAGTTATTCATTTGCTGAGCTCCAGATTCTTCACCTAGGGAGTGGAGAAGACTACAAGAGCAATCTTTTGGTGAGGTCACACAGAATCTCTTGATTTAGAGACCCCTGACGTGGTTCAGCGCTGTGAATGAAGACACAGGGTGAATGAAATAGCTGCTAAGCACTTTCAATAAGAGGGCTGAGGTCTCTATAGTCACTAAGTCTAGAAAATGTGGCATGGGGGATCAGTTGTCCCACCTTCACATCCACCCACCTCTCACCAGTCCTCTTCCTATTCTGCCCACACCCCTGGGTTGGTCTTCATTCTTTGTTCCCACTGGTGCTACCCACTCTTGGCTTCTCATTTCCTGAGTTCCAGCCAAGCATGGCATGGATGGTCACAACACCCTCTTAACTAATCTTCCACTTCCAACCCCCACCTCTCTGATCTGTTGCCAACATCAGGCTGGGGTCCAGCCCTCAGGCACCAAAACCATCATGCCTTAAGTGCTCCCATAGCTTCTAATGCCACTCAGGAAAAGGCCCAAATTTTTTCAAGTGCCAATGGAACTTGGTATCTTCTGGATCCTTCCTGGCTTTTTAACCACATGACTGAGCTCTTCCCCACCTTCTCTGGGGTTGAGCACACACTGTGCCCTGCTCTGCATGGTTGGCCCCTCCACCCACCCAAACCTCCACTCTAGTGTGGGCTGGTCCCTCTCCCTGATTACTTGCTTCAGGGTACAAATCCCAAGCTTCTCGGATCTTCTGCCAGTCACCCATGCTGGAGTACAGTGGTTCCTTGTTTCACGAATTTAATTCTTTTCATGATTCTGGTTACAAACCAAACTGGATGAGAACCAAACCAAATTTTCCCTTAAGGTTAGCGTTAGCCTTGAACCTAACCCCTGAATTTGATTCAGTTCTCATCCACTTTGTTTTGTGACCAGACTTGTGGAAAGAATTAAGTCTGTGAACCGAGGCAGCAATCATATGTGATCGCAGAGGGCAGTGCTGGGCTTCTCCATTCCCAGCGTAATCACATGGCTAGCACGCCACTGAGATTTGTCAAAGAAATCAATGGAGTAGATGATATTGATTGAAAGGACAAGTCAGTCTATGCTTTTGTCTCACAGTTTCTACTGTCCTCTTTGTCCTTTCCACAGACAGTACACTCATCTTCCATCTAAGTTTTCTCATCTATTATTTCTTTGCTCAAAAGCCCCAGATGTATGCCTGTCACTTAGGTTGAGGTTTGAAATCCTCCATACCTCAACCCACTTTTCCAAATGCAGTTACAAGTATATTTCCAAATATATCTGGAGATATATGTATGTATATCTATAGTTACATATACTTGGAAACAACTAATAAATGTGTATTTGGAAATATATCTGTATATTCCAAACAGACTTACACCTATTCCCTGGAACTTGAAGCTTGCCACAACCTGAGCCTCCAAGGACAGGCCTGGGATCCCCTCTTCCACCATGACATCCTCAGCACTCACTAGTGTCTGGCTCATAGGAGAACCATCTTTACTGAGTCTGTGATGAGCTTTCTTCCCCCCACACTCTTCCACAAAATGTATGTACTCACAGCTCCCTGTTTTTGCCTAGGCCATTTTTCTTTCTTATCCTCATTTTATCCTTCAAACGCTAGGGAAAATTCCATTCCAAGATCAGTCTCCAGCAGACCTCAGAAAAGGGCAGGAGACACAAAGAGACCCAGACCCATGGCTGAACAGGTCCTCAAACTACTTTCTCCAGGAGCCTCCTCCCTGGCAAAGAGAATACTGCACTGGAAAGTAATCATCCTTTTCTTTTCTTTTCTTTTCTTTTTTTTTTTTTTTTTTTTTTGGCTTTTTGAGACAGGGTCTCACTATGTAGTTGAGACTGACCTGGAACTCACTATGTAGCCCAGGCTGGTCTCCAACACACAGTGATCCTCCTGCCTCAGCCTCCCGAGTGCTGGGATTACAGGCATGCGCCACCACGCCCGGCTTCATCCTTTAAGAAATGTCTCAAATCAATTTCATAACTATTCTTTTTTGTGGGCAGTGTAAGAACTTTTAAGCAAGTAACTGGCTTCTGTTATGACTGCATGGCATTCCACTGATTGGACCAGCAATTACTCCTGGGATCAGCTGCCACTGAAGAGATTGGATGGAGATTATCCCTGTGTTTCTTGGGTATGGCTTTGCAATCAACACAGTAAGGAAGTCAGTGGCTTCCTGGCCAGAGTGGCTACTAATGCCCTGGGGCCAGCTCAGCAGTCTTGGTGTGAGGTCAGAAGGGGAGCTGCTGAGGGAGGCTGGTAGCTTCAACGTGACGTTCAATAATTTTTAAAATACAAGAAAAGGTGAGCAGTGGGGAGGCAGTGTGCTCAAAGGGAAGTCCAAAAATATGTGCCAGAGCCCATGTTTTAAAAGGTGAAAGATTTAAACTATCTGAAGAGAAACCAGAGTATTGAACCCATGTTTTATTTTAAAGCCATACAATTTAAGATGAGTCAACCTTTTTCAGGTTCCTTTCATTTAAATTGAAAAATAAGTATGCTTTGTTGTGCTATCTGGAGGATGGAATCAGGAACATCTATCTGGCAATGCCCTATGAAAACCATAAAATAAATGCCCCACAAGTGTTAGTTGTTGCTTTCTTAGCATGATCCCTGAAGGGGAAAACTCCACCTCTTCTCTGCTGTTTAGACATGGGTGTTCTCCTTCCACTCCTTGGAGTTAGAGAAGTGTGTATAGCATGGACCACCCTCCCAGCTCACCTAGGACTGTCCTGATTTGATCTCTGAAAGATCTAGGTTCCAGCACCATGTCCTTGAGAACCCTGGTCCCCAGACAGCTTGAGATCCGTCCACTGGAGCAAGTATGCAAAGCACCATTTTTCCTGATGTCACAGTGTGTCGTGAGATGCCCTGATGTAGAAATAGAAATTTATTTGGAAAGTATTAGGAGGATGAGTCATGCTACAGAATGACCACCTAGACCAGACTTCCCTCGACCAGGTAGCCTCAGCTCCTCCGAGGTAGGAGAGCACCTTTGTAGGCCTCAGAAACTATTAGAAAGTAATGTTCATGCAGTGCACACTCAATAAATATCTGAATAATTAATGCTTCTAGGGTTAAAACACCTTCATTAAAGCATAGATTGAAATATTTTATAAATCATTTACTTCTTGAGAGCTGGGTACACCAAAATTTGAGAAGCCATTAATCATTTGATGGGCAATTAGCAAAGGAAAATACAGCAGTTTTTGAAACGAAGCCACATTGTTTTTTTAAAAAAATTGTAATTGCATAAAATTTTCAGAATTAGAACTACTGTGCCAAGTGCCACATTAGGAATCATTTTAAAGATGCTTTCAAAAGTGTTCAGGCCAATGGAGTCCCATCAGCAGGATTTACCTACTCCGGATTCAGAAACACACCTTCAGCTTCTCTTTTCGTGTTTATTTCCATGTGTGACACATCATGCACATAGTGTTAAGTTGTACACTGTGATATTTCATTGAAAGTTTCTTAGTGTTTGTGGTAAGATACTATCTTATTTCCGGAGACCAAAAATATGCCCTTATTGACATACTAGGTCTATAACAAAACGTGAGCTCCAGTGGGGGTCGTGGCCACTCTACTTGGTGACCATACTGTATCATGCTGCAAATACTTATTGTCAATGACAATAATTTTTGGAGATAGCAGAGAATCACTTTTGTCTTTTCAAAGACTACCAGACCCCTTAGAACTGTATTCTAAATTTGGCTCAGTTCCGTGTTGTTTCTCAAATGCCCAAGGGTCATGTTTTCTTACATTATTGAGCTAAAATACTTTATGACACATTAAGCATAATTTTGTCAATAAAATGAAGTATCATATTTTCACATTTTGGAAAGGCATAGTTTATGAGGCAAATAATTTCCTATTTCTCGTTCTGTGAGAAAATCATTAATAAAACCATACTCCTTGCAAGAATAGAAATTTGCTGTAAGAAAGCACAAATCTCTCAGAAAGGCAAGTTATAAATCAGTAGTGAAGAAGCAAGCCTACTGGTTATAATGTCCAGACGGAAATGAATAACTGAATCTTCCTTCATCAAATCAAATAGCATCTTAATAAGTTGCTGTGTCATCTCTGTTGATTTAATTTAGCTGGAAGATATCAGAAAGTGATTATGATCTGCAAACGTATCTTCATTTCCTAAGCTCATTAGCGTTTGGCATGTGAGTCTTCTGCTCTTTATTCTGAAGGTGAAGTTACTTCTAAAATGGGCTTCAGGCTACCCACTTGGGACCCCTCCTGGAAACCCACGAGCTGCTCTTCTTACTAGTTCCAATAAAAACTCTCCGAACCTCCTCCTTTGGTTCACTTCATTCTTCTATATTTGCAGAACCATGAGCTCAGTACATACGGTATCATCTGTAGGTCCCACCGAGATGTGAGATTAATAAGATGTAAGTCCCAACAGGGAGTTTTTCTGTTTCTTCTTGCAATATATCCTGGCTAAACTGTGATTCCATTTAGGAGATATATTTGCACTCTTTGTTTTTTTACTGGATAGCCTTATAGCTTTATGTCTTTTCTGCTATTTCTCTGGATTTAGGGAAAAATATGTCTCATATAGAAACAGGGTTTTTTTTTCAGCCAACTTAAAAGGTGATCAGTGCTGGCTGCTGCTCTTAAATCTCAGAGAACAGGTTTTACTGGGACAGGCTGGTCTGATCCCCCTCCTGCACACACCAGGGCCTGTGAGCCGGCCCTTCCTCAGTTTCCTTTCCAATGTGATCCCCCACTGATGAGGGGGCAATTTTAGCTCTTGTCACTTTTGGCCAGTCTCCTGATATTGACAGGTGTTGGGCGCATTGTTCCATTAACTTGCCTAAGTGTAAGGATAAATCTCACTGCTACGGCCTCTTAGCTCCAACTTTCATCTGTGGCTTTTGCTTTTTCCTTCTCATTTCTTGGATGGATGTTTTACTAAAGACCATAAACTCACCCTAGGAAAGTTTTTTGTCCCAATTCTCTTTTGGCCTGTGGGGTAGCAAGGGTTTGGAAAGTAGTGACAAGCCCAGTAGATAAAGTTCTTGTGCCTTACTTACAAAGTTTCTGGATCAAGTTCTTGTGACTTACATAGAAAGCTACATACTATACACAGATGAAACTTTCTGTGTGTTGCATTGTTACTGTCGGGTCAGGCACTCTTCTGTCCTTTCTCCACTGCCCTTCCCTTAGAAATAATGCAGTTGGCAGTAGCAGCTCATGCAGGGCAAAATCTGTCTCCCTTGCTGACTCTTCCTTGTGGCTGCTGGATTCCAGGACTCTTGAGTGACCAGGTTTTCCATCTTTCCAGGATGGTAAGTTTTCCCCTCCCTGCTACAATTCAGGATGTGCGTGTGTCTGTCCCTCAGTAGCTTGCTGTTACATGACTGCAGAGTGAAGCTGGCCTTCACTTTGAGGGTTAGAATCAGCTCTATTTGGAAGATACTCCAAAGGAGATACACAGCTCATGCCACCCTAAAGGACTCTTGTGGGTGGGTGAAACAACTCCATAGGACCTATGTCTTGAGTTCTCTATTCCTTCTGACTTACCCTTGCACTATATGCTTAAAACTGGTCTAGATTTAACCCTCATACTCTCAAAGAATGAAGAAGAAAGTTTTAGTTCTAATTTGTCTGTCTTTTTGCCCTCAGGATAGGGCTGGGAACCTCAGAACATCTCTGCTCCCTTCCCTCCTTCCTCCATCCTTAGGAAGACAGCTTGAATAGGGCAGAGTAGTTGGTTTTTTTGGGTGGGGCCATTAGAGCACTGATAGAACAGAAAATATTCTTAGGGACCCCTGTGAGTTTGACAACAGCTCTAAACCAAACAAGTATTAAGGAGCCAGGAGCCAAGCCCCCAGTCTGTAGAGAACAGCCTATTTCTTGCCACAATCTCTTCAGAACATGTCATCAAGGTGGCAACTGAGTTCAATACTCAGAGATATGCTGACTGAGGGATGAAAACAAAGTCGATAGCTAATATGAGCCAAGAAGTCACAGGATCAGAGGAAGGGGTCCCGGGTGCCTATAAGGGCAGATCATCTGGTTCTGGCCACTTCCTCAATCACCTCCAGATTGCTGCCGCTGGCACTGGATGGGGTCAAACCTGAGGGACACCACAGGGATACAGAACAAGCAGGGATAGATGGGAACATATCTCCACTTGTTTCTTGTTCTTTTCAAAACAAGGAACAAACTATGGTAGATAGACATCTGCAGTGGGACAGACTGGGGACTTGGCAGGCCTTGGGCACCCACCTTTTGGAATACATACTTAGTAGGCTCCCTTGCCTAAGCACCCCTGAGAAAGAAAATGGTTGCAAAAAAAATGTATAAATTACAGTACTGTATCTCTAATAGTTGTTCACTTTGGAGAGAACATTTACATAAAACATAGCTATGGCTATTCAAAGATGCAGTTTTCCAGAGTACTGTAACTAACACAGAGGGCCCCAAATGGCTTGTATTGTGGTAGCACCTTATTCTAAAGATGTTAAACCATCAGCCTGGGATCCTTCTTAAAAATTGTCTTGGCTTTCACAGGCATAAAAGAGCTTTTCTTTCTTTCTCCTTCTGGCTCTTACTGTTATTAACTTATTACAAGAGATCTGTTATTATTCATCTAAAAAAGTGCTAAATCATGACCCATAGGGAAGATTCTAGGCAGGCAGCACCACCACTGAGCTAAATCCCTGGCCCTTAGGGGAGGAAAAGGTTTTTTTTTGTTTGTTTTTGTTTTTGTTTTTTTTTGGTACTGGGGATGGAACTTGGACCTTGCACTTGTGAGACAGGTGGTAGCACTACTGAGCTAGATCCTGGCCCTAGGTACCGGTTCTAACTAGCTAGTCTATTTATAACTACAAACCTAAACTATAAAAGGATTATTGTAGTTCAATTTGGTCAATACATTTCAGTGCATTCTGCTTTAAAAGTAGTTGCTTTAGGGCCAAGGCTTTAGCTCAGTGGTTCCAGTACATGGCTCATGGGTGCAAGGACCCAAGTTTGATCCCTGGTACTAAAAAAAAAAAGTAATTGCTTTATGTAGTGGTTCCAGTACATGGCTCATGAATGCAAGGACCCAAGTTTGATCCTTGGTACCAAAAAAAAGTAATTACTTTATGTAGTGGTTCCAGTACATGGCTCATGGGTGCAAGGACCCAAGTTTGATCCCTGGTACTAAAAAAAAAAAAGTAATTGCTTTATGTAGTGGTTCCAGTACATGGCTCATGAGTGCAAGGACCCAAGTTTGATCCTTGGTACCAAAAAAAAGTAATTACTTTATGTAGTGGTTCCAGTACATGGCTCATGAGTGCAAGGATCCAAGTTTGATCCCTGGTACCAAAAAAAAGTAATTGCTTTATGTGTTCTATATGTATATGTTTTTTGTTTGTCTGTTTAATCTGTGTTAATAACTGGTTAAAGTTGCTTCATCAGAGACTTGCTGAGCTCATATGTATTTTATTTTTCCTTTTATTTTTGCCCTTGTAAACTTCTGGCATTATTGGACTTTCTGTGAAAAATTGATTAAATAGGCTTTCAGAATAACAAAACTTACCTGAAACATTACTGGATGAGGGCTGATAGTCTCAAGGCTTATGTAAGACTTGTGAATAAAAGCATTAAAGTTTGATGACATAAGGGTTATGTATGATTTAGGTTAAGATGCATTTTCTGTACTTTCAGGTACAGTCTTCCAAAAGTTCTACTTATGCTGGTTTATAAATAAACACTAAGATATTAGCTCAAATGCTTATGGTTCACATAGCAACTCTAGGCTAATTTAAATCAGTTGGTAAAAGATATTTTTAAAGTTGGTTTCCATCTAGACACGTTTCCATATAGATTGTTAGCCAATCAAGATAATATCAAAAATGTGGTTGTCAAACACTGAAAGTTCTAACCGCTACCAGTTACAAACAAATGTACTTTATGTCTTTCACCTCCATTCACTTCTATGGGCCAGAAGAGACCAGTGAAGATCTTAGAATGCAAACTTCAGTTCACACAGCAGAACTGTTCCGGAAAACCAGTTAGGCTTCTAACTGCAACATTTATTGTTGTCTATGCACACTAACTGAAGGGCTCTTCCTTAGCTGAA